CTGCGCTGTTTGTGTTGCTGATGCACAAATGGCTGTACTGGATTTTTATTTTTTTTAAATCTCATTTTCTTGTTTGCTTTGCAATGCCTGCTACACTCATCACAAACATGCTACTGCAGTCTTTTAAGCTGACAGTGAATGTGACACTGCAATAAATTATATATTCTGTCTGCATGTGGAAATTTGAATAGTCGGTTCACAAAACGAAATCCAACTGAAAAGGGTAGCTCCGTGCATTGCTGTTTTCACTAAAGCTTGCATAGGAGAGGCAGAGACACTCGGATATTACTTTGGTTATTTAATAGCCTCTATCTATTCAAGGCCTTTGCAAGGTGCTCTTGCTGCTTTTGGCTGTGGACTGTGGTGATTAATATGAATTCTTTGTGCAGAGAGATTTCTTCTGTGTGCAGAAATTAGAGGCGAGTGCTGTTTTCGCTAGGCACAAGCCTTTACAGCTGAAGTCTGCTTTGATCCAGGCAGACACCAGTCCCCAGGGGAACGCTGTAGTGTTCAAAGTTCACGGACTGGAGAGCTAAATTCTATAGATTTCACCAAACAGACAGACCCTCTGTCTTTAATAAGAGTTCTGGCCTTTGTGCTGCTCTGCGTAGCTGTTGTGTAAGCCGCCAGCTTTGAAGCCTGGTTGGAGTCGTGAGCATGGTTCTCTCCCCAGTAAGTTCAGTAGCTGAAGGCAGATTTCTGCAGGTGCTGGAGTGGCAGGCATATGGCAGGAGGGTTTCTGCTGTGTGCTGGGGTGGAAGCTCAATCCTGAGAGGAAGCAGGAGAGGAGGACAAGTGTGGCAGGGACTGCAGTGCACCAGCTTAGCACCTGGTTAACATCCAGGCCTCTCTGAGATGGATCTTGCCTAACTCTTACTGAGATCCAGGGCTACTGCCTCCTTATATTTTAGTAGTGCTTCTTTTATCAACAAAAATCACTTAAGGTTGAGGCAGTTATTCAACTTCCTTCTTCTCTGAAAGCTGACCTGTGAGATCCTGGCCCAAAGTGAAAGGGGAGTGTGCGGGTGGGAGAGATGGGGGCCAGCGTGCTTGCTCCTCATCAACTCCTGGCCCCTTTGAACACCAGCAGAACATGACTGGCTCCCTCCTTGTCATGTGTAAGAGGAAACTGAGCCTGCCAGGCAGTCACGGCCTGCAGCAGCGGAAAAATTGGTTCCTGAGTACTCTGTAAAGCTCTCCTGTAACTGCCTTCAGTAACTCTGCCTTGTCCTCAGTTCACTACAAATAGCTATGGAACATGTGTAGCTGTTACTAAAGAAAGAGGGCTCTTATTTTGTCCACAGGCCCTTCAAAGTGCAGGCTGTCTTTCAGCCATTACTAGTCAAAGACGGTACCTTGGGGCAATGCTGCTGGTGCATCCTGCTTTTCTTATAGGGTCTGGACAGTGCTCTGCATATAATTCTGAGGCAAGCTGGACCCCACTTGGTCCTTCTGAGTCAGGGGTCCCAGTGTTCCTGTGGTGACAGGAACTGTGTTTTGACTGTCAGTGGCAGCCCAGTGCCAGGCAGAGCTGAGCATGAGGAGCATAGCAGTGAAGTAGTCTGTATGAGCTGGGACTGGTGCCTTGGTGAAAACTTCCCCAGGCGCAGATCAGAGATGAGTGAGAGGGGGAAACACCCCCACACATTCACGCTGCATCTCCAGTGAGCACGTAGCAATGGAAATTTAACTCTGCTTAGCCAGAGGCTCCTGAACACTAGCATGTGTGGCTTGGGAGCTACTTACGTCTATAGGTGCCCGGTAGCAAGTCTGGACTTTGTACAGGGAGTTTCTCACCAGCGCTTCCAGGGTGTTCACCAGGCTCTTGGCCCGCTGGTGCTGGGCAGCCTCAGCACTGGCTGCTGACTGTCTCCAGCATTCACATCCAAGTCTGACCTGTGTTTTGGCAATGGGGACTATGCGGCCATGCAGTCCGAGGCACAAAGCTTACTTGGTTCACTTGGGGAAGGCTCCTTGATATTTTTGTTATACTCTTCAGCTCAGAAAAATCTATGTACCTGGTCTGTTTCTTTTCTCAGGGGCAGTGAGTGCAGCAAGTCTATGCAAGTATTGTTCTACCCCATCCTCCTTGGAACAGCGTTACTTGTTTTCCTGGTGTAGACTGGTTTGGGCTTCTAGTGCTGTAAGTGCAGGTCCTCTGGTCTTCCTGGCACTCACCATCAGCATGTTTACACCCTTTTCCCAGCATTGCTGTGGTGCATGTCATCCAGGCAGTCCCTGACCTCTGCTCTCTCCTCTGCACTTTATTTCTAGTAGGTTCCTGATTTGCTGTCACCTTAGATAAGTCACTCTTCCATCCCCTGCTTTCCCAGCTGTAGAGGAAGAATTGTGCCTCTCTGCAGAGCTCTAAGCTTTGAGAGCACCACAAAAGGAGCTAGATACAGGCTTGCTCTATTCACTGTGCTTGACAACTCAGTAAATAAAACTTCACTCAATTGCTCGCTCTGTAATTCACACATAAAAGACCTGTCATTCTGATCTCTCCCACGCTGTGCTTTAAATGCAAAGGGTGGAGTGAGACTTTCTAGTAAAGCAGCACAATTTCAGTGCAGCACAGAATGGTCTTTGAGAGTAAGGTATTGTCATAAATAACGTAATGCATCTGCCTTGGCAGGAAGAGTGGAGTGCACGTGGTGAATCTGGGCTTTGTTATGGCCTTCCAGAATTTAGCGTGGATCTTGTGTCACTTGATAAGCGTTCTGGATCCTCAGAGTGTACAGGAACAGCTAACTTTTCAGAGAAAGGTAACACTTCATGCCAGTGGGGAACCTGGTTTTTCCTCATTGAGTTTGAGACTAATTAATAAATATTCATCATCTTCTGGTATTCACATTCTTATACCTTCAGCTGCAAAATGCATCCTAATCATCATGCTTTAAGGCTCTGTGTGAGAGCTGACTGGCCTGAGCCCTGGAGGACAGCCTGCTGTGGGCTCTTTCAGTCTGGCAGGAGGTAGGGAGGCCTATAGCATCCCTATAGCTTTTGGTTGTAAAGGTTCCACAGCATCTTTAAAAGCCAAGTTTTAAGGTTCAGGCATGTCCTCCCTAATCACCTCTGCCATCCTCCAGCCTAGTGTTCTCATCTCTGGTGGGATGCTCAGTTCTGCCGTTCTTGGTTGACTGTGCACCTTGGGTTTTTTGCTTCAACCCTTCTGGAAGTCAAGCTGCCCAGCCCGCTTGCTCTTTGCTTACAGAAACCAGAAGGCTTTGCCTTGAATGTAGAAAAGCTTTGTGTTGCCATCCCCTTCTGGTTTGCTGCACTCCTCCACAAAGTGTAGTTAGACCAAAGGAACTTGGGGTTTTCCAGCCTTTGCTTATATACCTGGTGGTGTGTATGCTGTGTCTGCATTTCAGAACAGCTGAATGTCCTTGGTAATACAGAATCCTGTTTTTAAGCAAGGATTATCTTTCCTCTGCCTCTGTGCGCACTCTGTTAACTGCTCTACTTGATGGGGCTACATACTGATTCGGCCGTGTCAAATGCCTCGCTCTCCTCTGGTGGTGTCCTTGTCACAGGGCTGGCAGTAGCCAGCAATAGAAATGGAATCAGCAAAATCTGAGGAGGTGGTTGTCAAGAGATCCTCTGTGGTATCCTAAGCTGAATTAAGGAAAAACTCAGCCTAGAGTTCATGGTGCTAACATGACACCTGCCCCTGGAGCCTCTCCCCAGGCTGTCTGGTTGATCAAGAAGAGTGAGAATCAAGTTTGAACAGCTAACAAGGCTTCAAGCTTGTAGCTGTTCAGTGTGCAGTGCCTGGAGGCCAGCACTTTCCCAGTCTCACTGTGTGAAGCTCTGCTTAGGAAGTGATGGTTACTGTGCAGAAGAGAGTGTGCATTATTGCGACTGGCTGTTAAAGTCTTGTGGAGCTGGAGCTAGACCTGGCTCATCACTGTGCTGGGGAGGTGGTTGTTTCTGCACTGTAAGCCCTTGGACAAGAGATCTCTCACTTTCTCTCCGTTTTATCAACGTGCTTTGAACACACGATTGGTAGCTCGACAACAAAGGCTTTAGTGGTAAAACCAGCTTCAGATGTTTCCACCTTGCTTTGTGGTTCACTGCCTCTTCTCCTGTGTCAGAAGTGGCATAGCGAGAGGCTGTGTGCATCCAGCTCAGAAATCGTCCTCCGGGGTGAAAACTTCTTGATCCTGTTTTGTCACTGAAGTCTGCTGTGAATTGCACCATCCGTAATGATGGTCAGCAGGCAGTGAAACGTCTCTCTCGGGGCAGACTGCGCTGGGTGGGCTCTGGGTGCAGGAGATGATGCATGGCAGCTATGGTTCCATTCCAGACATGTTCATCCCAGCCTGGCAGTGCTGGCATTTCAGTGCTGGGCCTCCAGACAGTGGGAGAACTGGGACTCTCCTCCAGGTGGCTGGCATGGAGGACTGCTCGGTGTCTCTCTGGTGGTGTTGGTAGCCCTGCAACACCTCCAGGGAAGCGCACGAGGAATAGAGGAGTGAATTGGAAGCTCTTGCTTACCAGAATGATGGTGAACCAAGCACTGTTTCTCACCGCAGAGCTGTCCCATGGAGGCACGGGGGAGCTTTCAGCACTGTGTTGGGTTGTGTGTGGCTGGTGTTAGATCATTGCCTGTTCTTCCTGGGTTTCCTGCAGAAAATAAGACTGTGTGCTGGGCTGACAGTCAGCATTGCCTAGGCCTTGGATTGAGTGAGCTGGCCTTTGCCAAGCTGCCATACCACACTGTACTCCTCTGACTCCCAGTGTTTCCAGGCAGGTCAGTATGGATCCAATCAGACCTTGCCTGACTGCGCTGCTTTCCCTTCCCTGTGCTCACCTTCTTGCTTTGACCTTTCCTTTCCCTTTTTGTATCCCCATGGAATGGCTGCCAGCCCCTGCCAGCTCTGCCTCTTAGAGCTGCCACTTGTGATTCCTGAAAGGCCAGGAGGTGTGAATGAATGGAAGCCCAGCAGAGAGCAATCATTTGTTACAGCAAGTTTTCTTTTCCCCCCTTTCTTCAGATACAGCACAAAGAATCCCTCTCTGCAGTCGGAGACGGTTCATTACAAGAGAGGGGTAAGCCAGCAATTCTCCCTGCCTTCCTTCAAGATTGATTTCTCAGACTGGAAGGATGATGAGGTAAGTGTCTTCTTAGTGTTCCCTTCTTTCCACAACCCTGTTGCCCAGAAGCGCTGGATTCCATTTAAGTTCACTAAATCATGGCTGGAAGACACCCTCTCCCAGCTGCCATGATGTGTTTTGTGGGTATGAGACTAATGGGGCCCTGGGAGGAGCAGGTATGAACACTGTGGGGACTTGGCAGGTAGATGAGGCAAACAGAGAAGAAACCCAAAGAAGCAACTTTTGATATTGCTGATCTGCTGGCATCCCAGCACCTGGTGTAGGAGGCAGACTGCAGAGATTGGCACTGGAGCTCTTCCTGGAGGAACCCCCACTCCTCAGCCTTCCTCTCCCTGCCAGCCAAAGAGCTTGTAGCAAGAAATGTCTGTCTCAATCTCTCTCTTTTTTTTCCTCTGGTCTTTTAGGAGAGTGGTCTCCAAAGTGAGGTGCATGCCTGAGGTGTTGAAAGAACTTCACTAGAATGTGTATATAACTTGTAAATAATAAATATTCATATATTGGGAGTGCATGCTTAAAATTGTTTTTACTGATAGGATGAATAATCAAAATAGTTTGGAGACCACTGCTCTAGAAAAGTCCTGTTCCGTTTAAGGCCATTATTAATGTCCTGCATTATTAACTGTAGCAGAGTTGGAGGGGATACTTTCCCTTCTGGGGCAGATTCACACCGATGCATTAATGCTTGAATAAGAGGGATGCCTTCCTCCTTTTATTTTAACCCATAACTGCAAACAGACAAGAACTTGGTTTTAATTAAGCTCTGTGGCTTTTACTACATGGCAAGATCTGTGGAATCCTATTAATTTTGGTATCTTTGCAAAATTTCAACCCAGGACAGTAACTCTCTGCCTCTTGAGCCCTTTGGCCCAAGGGCTTCTCCTGCATGGGAAGCAGGGCAGAGAGGTCTTGGTCTTTCCCCTGCTCCGTGCAGAATTGCCATAAAACATTTATGATGCAGAGGAGTTGGTCTGCAGCTCCTGCCAGTATATTTTTTTCTTGTGGACCTCTCTCCCAGGTCAGCATTGATGCTGCACTCACTTCCTGACCCAAGCCTGTATAAGAGTATAGTGTGTGTGAACATTGATTTTTTTTTTTAAGTAAAAAGAGAACTCTACCTATTAAAAAAAAAAGAAGAAAAAATAAAAGAAAAAGGAAAAAAGTAATCTTTCATGTATTTTAAAAAGATTGAATAGCTATTGTCTTGAAGTTACAGTTATAACTATAATCAGTCCTGTGCCTTAACAAACGCTGTGGCGGTTACCAAGAGCCTGCAGAGTCTTGTCTTCTGATGTCTTGACTTCTCTGCCAATATATGATTTCACAAGTTCAGCCTACAAAAGAGCTGGAAGAGCTGCTTTTCAATCCCTTCTGTCATCTGAGAGAGCTGGAAAGTAGGAGCTCAGATCCCTTTCTCCTTAAAGAATTGAGAAGCTTAATTTTCACTTTTTGTTCTTGACAGCAAGGTTTTAACTCGAGAACTAAAGTCATGTCCCTTTGACAGCTTAAAGGGAGAGGTGCTGTGGAAGAGTAAGCTTCTAGCCCCCTTCTTGATTCTGCTGCATCCTCTGTCTGTTCTCTTTTTTGTGAAGTAAATGTGGAATGAGCTCTGTGATTTGGAAGAGTTTCTTCTCCTGTTTTGGCTCCGTGTACATATCAGTCCATGTCCTCTCAATTCCAGTAAAATGCATATGGCTAAGTCTTCCTAATTGTCCACTGAAATGCATCATTTCATCTGAAACAGCTGGCAGAGTCTTATCACTCATCTGTGTACAATTGCATGCTTCACATTGCTTTCCAGCTTTATTACTAGTATTGTCCAAAAAACCCAGATTTGCTTCATATTTTTGCTCAGTGTAATACTCACATATGATGTATTTCTTGGCTGGCCAACAGAAGGAAAAATAATGTTATGTTGGGTTGTTATGTGGAAAGCTTTATAAGAGTTTACTTTGTCTTTGTAATGTACCGGTTTCCTTGTAAGCTATAGTGTATGGCTTGCGTTGAGACAGTTGTTTGCAGGTCTCTAAAAATGAATGTGAAATGGACCCTTAAAGAGGCCTTTTGTTTGAGAATGCAAAAGTTTGTATCATAAAGCAACCACAATTCTGTGATGTGACTTCCCCTTCAAATGGACAAATGGTAACTGTTGTTGTACAGTAATAAGAGCAGGAAGCAAAGCAAAACCGTAAGCTTCTTTCAGCAATTTTAATCAATTGTCCTTGATGAAATTTCCCTCTGTGGCATGCCGTAATGGTTTAAAAATGCAAGCTGGAAAATAGTGGCTCAATGAGTCTCTTCTATAACAAATATTGAGAGGTTAAAAGTTAGCTCTGCTACACTGCTGTTTTGGAAAGATAATAGATTCTGGTAGTTTAAAGGAGGAATAAAATGTAAAACCATCATACAGAGTACGAAAATTGGTATCCCTCAGGTTTGAATACTAGCTAGGTCAAATCATAAGGTCTCCCAGCACATGCTTTCCATTTAGAATCAGGTTTGAACATTTGAACGGAGGGGTGTGTGTGTGTGTATGTGTGTGCGCAAAGCTAAGAGTTGTTTCTGCAAAGCGCTGCAGAAGCTGAGTGGCCCCAAAGACACGCAACCTGCCCAAGGAACGCACAGCAATGGACAGAAGAGCAGCAGACTTGCAATTCTCTTCCCCCCTACACCTCCCTTGGAAGGCTAGTGAGCTGTTGCTGTCTGAAGCACGTGCCCACAACTCCTGTCAGCTATGCAAGTACTGGGCTATGGTAGGCCTGGCTGGTGGCTGCCAGGGTATATTGTCTCCCAGTGTACAGTTATCATTCATTTCAGGATGAACGTTTAGGTTGTAATTAATTCGAGGAGGAACCATTTTAAACTATGTCAAGGCTCAGGGCGGGAGTCACCTTCCCTCCAGTCTGGGTGTTTTGGGTTGCTGTTTGTGCGGATGCCAACGATTACTCTGATAGTTTAACTTTGGAGGGACTCGCTGGAGAAAACCACGCTGCAAATGATGTTGGAGCTGCAGGAAAGTGAGAGAGGCCTCCCTGAAACCCTACCTGAATGGTGCTGTGGTGCTTCTAAGTGGGTTTTCACTGGAAAACTGAAAACAGACTACCTGGAGCACCATGGTGAAATGACATTTTTTCCCTCTCTTGGCAAGTGATGAGACAAAAAACCCTAAGTCAGTAATTAACAAAAAACACCAGAAATAGTCTCTGAACCACTTCTGTTCCTGGCATGGTACGGTGTGTGTAAGGTTGCATTTTTCTTGTGTTTGTAAGATGACATGGAGCTTTGAAGAGCTTTAATGAAGTGTGAGGCAAAGGAAGAAATTGAGTCTATTTTCCTTGCCCTCAAGTGAGATCTTAGATTTTCACTCTTGCCCATTAGAACGTCAAGGACCTGAATTTCATAACATGCCAAGAGATGGAAATCAGTTTGATGTTTACTTAAAGTGTTGTGTGAGCTCGAAGTTTTACAGATTTTTCTCTACATCTTCAAGAGCTTCATACAAGAGTCAGGAGGTTTTTTGTGGTGTAGGGAGCATAATGCTTACTGTTGTGCTATAACCAGTACATCCTACCATGCACCAGCAAGACTATGGCTCACCAGTTACATTTTGGGAAACTCGTCCTACTACAGATCACTTACAAGTTTTTCAGGATATATGAACTGGTATTAAATAACATATAAAATCCAAACAGAGATCCTTTCCTTTGTTAGCCACATTTGGAGTTTAGTGCCATGTCAGTGTATATATGTTGTAGTTATTCTGATTAACTCCCTTTGAAAGTGTCTGAATTTTAAATCCTTCTGCTCTGTCATGTCCTTTTGAGACCAGGGACTAGGGGACCATCAGAAAGGGCCTTCATTCCTCTGATGTTAATGCCATCTTGACCGTTGTCTTCAGGCAAGCCTGGTGTGAATTGTCTAACCTCACCTTGTTTGTTTCCCTCAGCTGAACTTTGACTTGGACCGCGGCGTGTTCCCTGTGGTCATCCGAGCAGTGGTGGATGAAGGGGACGGTAAGCGTGCTGTTGTGTTCCTTTGGTCTTCTAGTTCTCTTTGAGGTTATGTGACTCCTTCAGGGCAGGCCTCCTTCTGCAATGATGAAAACATTTTCCTTGTAGGAGAGGCTTGGGGAGCCCTTCCAGAAGGAAAGGCTGAAAAATATTGAACTCCTGAAAAATATTTCAGGAGTTCACCTTAACTTCCCTGTATTAAAAGGGCTCAGCTAACCACAGTTTTGTACATAAAAACATGCTTTTAAAAAAAATAGCCTCCATTCTTTACAGGAAAAATGGCCATGGTATTTAGTGTTGGCGTGGTGTTTAGGAGAGCTCCTGGCTCTGCCACCAATGCCAGGCACAAATTGGACCAAGTACAGCTTCATTCAGCAGTTTAAAGTTCTCCTGCTTTTTCTGACGGATGCTGAGTGGTTACAATAGAAGAGCATAACCTTTAATGAGAAATAATATTGTTGATAATTTTTAAAGCACATTGCTGTTTTGGAGAGGGAAGTCCAGTAAATGTTTAAATTGTTACCTTGCACAGTATTTTCCTTAGGGGCTGTGTGCCTTTGGGCTCCATGTGTTTGCACTCATTCTGAGTATCAGCAATTAAAAGGACACAAGGAAGTAATGTTTTCTCTAAAACTGGGAAGTTTTGAGGTCAGTAGGACCAGCATTTCCCTTCTCTGTTTTGTAGCAGTTTGTGCAACATTTAAGAATAATTAGGAAGGAAAAAAGCCATTGTTCAGTGCAGTCACTTGCTCAGTTTCTTATGTTGTAGATGTGAAAGTGCCCAGAAACTCACTATGTTATTTTTCAGTCCTCCAAGCAGGGTGAAATAGAACTGGATGAACCAATTAAAGTGTGACTAACAAAGCACAGTGCAACATAAAGGAAATAATTTCTGAAGTGCTTCTATTTTTGGTGTTTTCAGACACGGATAGTAAAATTGACATATATGTATATTTCTTGACCATAAATATAAAACACCTTCCTCTGTGGAGCTTTTGGGAACATGTTTATACTTTCTAATGTTGGGCGTGCTTAGGAGGACAAAAAACAGAAGGGAAGACAGCATGGGAAGCAGACGTTTATGTACATGCCATACCCAGTCTTAGCCAATAGCGTGCTGCCATTTATCTTACTATTGCTTTTAAATCCCTTCCTGGAAAGAATATCAACACAAAAATATGTGACACTTGAGCGAGATTTGAGGAAATTGTTGTGTATTTTAGTTCTTTTTTTTAATGGATGGGACTGGAATGAGCTGGCCTTGTCCATTTGGAACACTTGGAAAATTACAGCTGGCCTGTAGCTGTTTGTGTTAAATAAAATTGAGTGGCAAATTAAAATAGCAGTCAGGGAAATGTTGGTTTGGACTGAATTCTGCCAGGAGATGTTTGCGTGCCTTGAAGAATGTGAGCTTGCAATGTCAGCCTTCTTCCACTCCTGCCAGCAAGACTGCTTTCAGGGAACGGTACAGAAACCCTTCGGGGAGGGAAGGTGCTGCGCAGAGTGAGTGGCACAGCTCCAGCCACACACACTGCTTGAATGCCACGGAGGATGTGAAGGAAAGCGATGCCTGTTCTCTCTTTCTCGTCCATTCACACTGTGGAATGGGACCGAATGTCATCTACAGAGTGAGCTAGAACAGGCTTGCTCTTGGCTGGTGGGGGTGAGCAGGAAGGTGAATTTTAGCTCTCTTTTCTGTGTGCCATTATGTTCCTGATCGCACCCAAATTGCTGTGTTCTTGGTTACCCAGCAAATCTGCAGACTTGGAAGTACCCCACATGCTGTTGTTTCCAGACAAAATCTTTGTGCTGTAATCCAGTGAACGGTTCCTCTTGTTGTCTCAGCTGTTCTGGGGGCCCAAAGGAAGCTGTGGAGCTCCTTTCGCTTTTAGACAACACAGGAGTTGCTTTCTTCAGCTCTTAACTTTCTGGCACTGAGCTGATGTAGTGTCTGGCAGCTCTTCTGTATGTGCTGAGCACAGCCCTGGTGCTCATCGGTTCAGACAGGCGAGGTGGTTACGTGCTTTCCCTTCCCTCCCTGACTCCTCCACAACCTCTGTTTTGCATTTCCATGTGATGAGTATGAACATAATTAAGCAAAAGGGTCCAACCAGTTGAAGCTGAGTGGAACATTAGGGTCTTGAGCCAGAGAGACTGGGATTGTACCTCGGTTTCCTCTATTCTGTATTTTTATTTGCTGAGGGAGCCATGAATGCAGTACGGAAACCTCTGTCAGCCCCTTCTAAAAGCTGTTCAATTAGGAGGGAAGCCTCAGTTTTGGAAGATGTGATATTTGTCACTGGAGGAAAAAAAATAAGAGAACTGCACAGAGATGTTTCACTGTCCAAAAATGGTATGAGGAATACATGTTTTATAAGCATGTCGGATTAGACAGAAATAAAGTGATACGTACCAGAGCTGGAAGGGCTGCCAATTGATGTTAAACCAGATGGATTTATTAATCTCTGTGATAAACTCAGGTAATTAAACACAGGAATTTGAGGGGAGAGCAGAATCCTACTGAGCTCTTTGTTTTGCTGTCCCTCTCCAACCTCTGAAAACAAAGTGGGATAGTTTGGAGCACCTGAGATAACAACGGCATGTCTCTGTAGGGCCCACCACAGACCCCTGCAGGAGTTTGAGATGAACCAACATGATGACAAGATAAGTTGCTAGAAGAGATGAAAATAAAATAAGGGCTGTTTAGAACTTGTAAATGGACTAACATTCAGTTTATGGTAGTATTATGCTTGTGCTGCTTTCAAGGTTTAACCAGGACCACTCCTTCTCTTTTTGCAGTGGTGGTTGAGGTGACGGGTCATGCCCATGTTCTCCTGGCTGCATTTGAAAAGGTAAATGAGTTCTTTTTCTTCTCTCTGTCCCTGTCCTTGCGTATGAAATAATTTCCATGGGTCATTAGTTTGTATTTATATAACACTTAGCACAACGGAGTCCTTGCCTTGACTGAGGTTCCTGAGTGCTTATTGTAGTACAAATAATTGCTTGCAGCAGCTCCTGTGCAGTCTGTAATTATCACTTGTACCTGAGCTGGTCACTCAGCTAATTGTACCTGGTGTTTCCTGTGTGTGGGGAGAGGGTGTGCCTCAGTGGCTGGGATGTTTGAGTGTGGAAGGTGTTGACCATGGCTCCAACTATGCAGTTTTCCAGGGCCTCGTGATCCCTTTGCAGAACCGGATCTGCTGTGTCCAGACCCTGTTGCACCATTGTTTGGCCTTAGTTTACACGTAGGACCAGCCCTTTTAAAGAATTAGAACACATCCTGTATAAAGATGTTGTGCTCCACTACTTTTTGGTGACATGTTTGATGTAGCTGACTGTTGCTCAGGCTAAGCTAAGCTGTATGCACAAGCCTGGATAACAACATTTCTTCCCATGATAACTGGACCCTGAAAATAGTTGCAAGATCCATAACTGCACTATGTTGTGTCTGGTTGTGGTAATACTGCAGACACATATCCTGGGCAAGTGATACTTCTTGTGACATGCTAAGATGAGACGAGAGATACTGGAGCAGAGCTGGGCATGTAGAGGGGAGCAGGATCAATGCTGTGCTATTAGAAATTCCTCACTTTCAGGCTGGCATGTGGACTGACTTCTGTTTCCCAGTCTGCTTGGCTCCTGCCGTATCCATAAGCAAGTTGACAGGTCTTACTTTGTTCCTAGGTGGATAATATGGATGGTGACAAGCTAAGTCAGAGGGCATGGGAAACCCTTTGGCTGGAGGATGCTCAAAGTGTTCTGAGTTGCTTTTTTGTTGGACTTAGTATGTGAATAAAATGAGCTTTTCTTTGTTATGAAGGCTGCCCTCAGCACTGGCTCTGTATGTAGTTCTGCTCCCTGCAATTAGACATCTGTCAGAAATTAGATGGGCAGCTGCAGCACCCCTGGGACTAGGACAGGGATGTTACTCCTCTAGTTTCCTCCTCCAACTGATCTGGAAAAGCAAAACACGCTGGAATCCCTCTGTTGTTCAGCAGCACCTGGGAGAGGACAGCATGGGCAGTGCGTCCTTGGGGAAGGCTGTAGTGTTTGGAGCCCATCTGTCACCCTGGTGGGAAAGTACTGTAGGTGGAGACCCCTTAGTCTTGCAAAATGATTGTTCAGCCATTTCTGAGGAGAGAAAAATAGGTGAGAGCACCAGCTTCCAGCACATTATAGCCTGATTTTGAAGTATTCTACACATTAGCCTTTCTCATCGGCGAAACTTACCTGTGCTCCCCAGGCTATTGCCTTCATAGCTTTTTGGTGGTAGCTAGGTTCAGATTAGGCTTTGCATCTGATAATGCAAGTGTGATTTTTTTTTTTACTTACAAAGGAATGTGTCCAGTTGCTGTTTTCCAAGTATGCAAACACAGTGCTGTTGCAGTAAGCCTAGCCTTTGTGGTCAGAGAGTAGAGCTCTCGCTTGGACCTGGATTTGTCCCAGCTTCCCGTTCTGGCATCCTGTGGCCAGCACTTGATAATGGCACCTTATAGAAAACAGAAAAGCACACATGTACTGGGAATGTATTAGCATGAGGACAGATGTAAAGCTTTGGAAATTTCTGTCTCATGAGATTGGAAAGTGGCTTGAACTGCTCCAGTTTTGGAAGGATGATTTCAAGGATTATAGGTAAATCTCGCATACTCTGCAGAGCATCTAAGCTCAGTGGATGCACAAAGGTGATGGCAAAACCCCCCTTAATGCTCAGGAAGCTGAATGAGGTATGCAGCAACACTGGGAACCAACTAAAGCTGGTCAGGGCATTCCATCAATGCAGGGTTACGTCCCATGTCCAGGTCTGAGCTCCAGGATCAAAAGTGCTTTCCTTCTTTTTCTTGTCTGTGTGTGCTGTGAGAGGGAGATATTGTCTGGTGGGGTCCCTTCTTGTCATCTTCCAGTAATGTTTAAAACAAGATTAAAATATTTCTTTTAATAAAAAGTCACAGGGCAAAGTGCTTGTTGCGTTCTCTCTCTTCCCTGATTGATTAAAATATATTCCCCATCCTTAGAATAATTGCAGCTTTTGAAGTGTAGGTTCATAAATCCAGAGGAGGTCCTTGCTGTTAAGCACTGCTGCTGATCACCAGAGCATGCTCAGAGGACAGACAGACCAGCAGACCTTGGTAACTGCATATTTCTATATATCCTTATATGATCAGGAGCTTGGAGCTCTGGCTTGAGCTCAGGAAAAAA